TTTTTCTAAATTCCATTTATTTTCCCAATAATTTGATTTTTTTCATATGTAAGCTCCATTATTCACCCATGGCTGAGTTACCACTCTTCCACTATCATCACTCTTAATATAAATTTCTTATCTTTTATTGTGTTTTCTTATTGAAAAGTATAAACTTTTTGCTTTTATGAACATTACTCCAATGGATCATTATGTCCACGTGCAGCAATTCACAGATACTCTGCGAATTGCCACTTTGCCCCCCTCAGCGGATGTACTAGTTTTTATTTCCACTAGTCTCTGTCCCCTGTGTCTTTCCAACCTAGTGTGTTGACAGACTTTGGGACTAATGCCCTTAAAACAGGTACGAATACTAGTTCTCTACTGTCCAGTTTTAAAACAAATGTGAAATTTAGCTTTTCTTACCTAGCTAAGGAAACAGTATTACTGAATTATGGAGTTGGATCTTTACCAAATCAATCATGGGGTTACAGGTATTCCCCCCCCCACTCTTTATTGTTTGTTTATTCTCCCTTACCCCCACCTTTATAAAGCAAGTATATATTGCTTCAGAAAGAAGCAGTGGTCAGAATTTTGAAAGTCATTATCATCACTTCTTTTTTTCACATTGTTTTGGGTAATCACTTATAACTTCTTGGAGTAGAAAAATCCTTCCTTTTAATAGACTATTTTAGTCCTGATACTTCACATAGGAAGTTCTGGGACTATTCTTTAGGGTCATCAAAAGGCCAGAGGTTTTTTTCTGGCATTGCAGTTTTAGGAGGCTAGTGCATTGATTCACCCATGCAGCCTTATAAAACTGATCCCCAAAACTGTAATGTCTGTTTACAGTGGAGGATATCTTTGAAGGAACTGGAATAGATGTAAGCAGTCATGTTCAACTATCAAAGTCAGATGGAGATTGAATGGACCCTGATGTGTGGAAGCTGGACCAGGTTGAGTTAAATAGAGCTGGAATTAGACTTGATTCAAAGCTTTTTCAACTGTTTCTTAGACTATGGTGAGTTTTAGCCCTTGTCCTATTTTATACTCAGTTTCCTTAGACACATTTTTTTCTTCCTAAAATAATGCTTTGATAATAGGGGCTTATTTATATAATTCATCCAACAGACCTCAGCTGTTTATGTTCCAGGTACTTCTAGATGCAGGTCTTAACACAGAATTCATGTGTCATAATAATAAAGCTCAAGCTGCCTAGGTGGATCATTGGTAAAGAATCCGCCTGCACTCAGGACACACAGGTCTGATCCCTGGGTTGGGAAGATCTGGAGAAGGAAATGGCTACCCACTCCAGTATTCTTGCCTGGGAAATTCCATGGACAGAGGAGCCTGCCTACAGTCTGTGGGGTCACAAAAGATTCTGACATGACTTGGCAACTAAACAACAGCAATGATAGGGCTTACCATATATGTGACACTGTTGTAGGTATACTATATACAATAAATCTAATTCTCAAAACTGTATGTGGTAAGTACTGTCTTACCACCTCATTTTACAGATGAGAGGACAGGTCCTGGAAAATAACTTCCCAAAGTTACTCAGAGGGCAGTGCTAAGATCTGAAGACCTGGCAGTTGGACTTCTGAGTCTGGGTTCTTAGCTGTTATCTCTGGTGTGACCCATTTTTCCCATAGTGCATTTCAGTGTCCCTTTAATCAGTCCCCTGATGCTTTTGTGAGATTATGTATGTATGGGAAAAGCTATCACAAGACAGTTACTTAAGGAGTTGATTTTTAAGATTGGGTTTTCTTGTTAAATCTGGGTGTTGTTCCAGTCTTAGCTACATTTACCTTGAGGGGAGTCTAGTCTAAAAGTCTAGCACAAGATTTTTGTTGTTATTGTTCAGTTTAATTGGAGAAGGAAACACTTTGTGAGTCTGACCCCTAAATCTTAGGCTGTGCAGGACACTAGTGTAGGGAAGGACCAAATTTTTTTTTTTTTTTTTTTTCCTTTGAGGGCCAACCAGTTACAGTGAGTTTTCTGGGACTAAAGTGTAAGAAACCAGGGCAATAATTCTTTCTGCCTGGAGTCAACTAGCTTGGAGAACTTGAGCGCCCCCTCAACCTGACTTCTTCCCTTTATGGCTTATGGGAACAGAGCTTACAAGGTTTTCTGCAAAGATTAAATGAGAACACGTGAAATTATTTTGAAACTCGCTGAACATATACAACTGGCAGCTGTTGTCAGTTTGACCATGAAAAGCATCTTTCAAAATTCAAGTGGTTTTTCTCTGGTTACGAAAAAAGATTTGTTTTTGTTAGTTGCTCAGTCGTGCCCAACTCTTTGCGACCCCATGAACCCATCCAAAATTTCCAGGTGAGAATGGAGTTCTCTGGGTAAGAATACTAGAGTAGGTAGCCATTTGCTTCTGCAGGGAAGCGAATGGCCCAGAGATCGAACCCGAGTCTCCTGCATTGCAGGCAGATTCTTTACTGTCTGTGCCACCAGGGGGGTCCTGGTCTTTGTTAGAACTTGTATCTAATGTGAAGATAGGAGTTATTACCAATGTGGTCTGTAGTTGACCATGATGAGTTCAAATTTGCAATAAAATAAGTTAGGAAACATACGACATGGTCCTTAATATTCCTATTTACTTTGCAAGTTCTGGAGGAGGCAGACCTGAAAGTTGAGGATCAAGACCTGAAGTTGGACTTTCAGCAGAGTCCCTAGGTGCCTTTCACAGAGAAGAATCTATAGGCAAAAGATCCAGGATCCAATTCTTTTTACATTCTTTTCAACACTTGGGCAGGCAGGATTTTGGACAAGAATAAGACTCAGTCAACAAAAAAGGCCTTACTATGTGCCAGCTACCTTGTATTATAATCAGATGTTTCTTCGGGTTCCTTCTTAGTCCCCATGATACCTCCTCTGTGTTCTTAAAAATCCCCTGACCCTGAGAATGTGATGAGTATGCCACGTGACGGCTTTGTCATCCTCTTAATCACTCCCCTGGTCCCTTGGCCAATCTGATTTGAGCTAACCATCAGGCCTTGCTTCTCAAACTTTTAAGCAACCTCGGTACAATAGCCACACGGTTTAAACTTATGGAGGGCCAAACTTAGCAGACATTTCCAGTGCAGGAAACAAAAGAAAAAAACCCTTAAACTGTTGTCATCACATGAAAGCAACAGTCCTTTGAAGCTGACATTTGCTACCTTAGTAATTATGGAAAGATGGTGGTGGTGGTGTGCTGCTGCTGCTGCTGCTAAGTCGCTTCAGTCGTGTCCGACTCTGTGCGACCCCATAGATGGCAGCCCACCAGGCTCTGCTGTCCCTGGGATTGTCCAGGCAAGAACACTGGAGTGGGTTGCCATTTCCTTCTCCAGTGCATGAAAGTGAAAAATGAAAGTGAAGTCACTCAGTCATGTCCAACTCTTCGTGACCCCATGGACTGCAGCCTATCAGGCTCCTCCACCCATGGGATTTTCCAGGCAAGAGTACTGGAGTGGGGTGCCATCGCCTTCTCTGGGTGGTGGTGTAGTTGCTCAGTAATGTCCGACTCTTTGTGATCTCATGGACTGTAGCCCGCCAGGCTTCTCTGTCCATGGGATTCTCCATGCAAGAATACTGCAGAGGGTTGCCTTTCATTCTCCAGGGTATCTTCCCCACCCAGGAATCAAACCTGTATCTCCTGCATTGCAGTCTTTTTTTTTTTTTTTTACCGCTGATCCACCACAGAAGCCCATGGGAAGCAGATTCAGAAGGGTAAAGATTTGACCTGGAATCTTTCCCACACCCCAAAGGTTAGGTCACTACTACAGTGTACAGGAGAGATGGTCGCAGTGGGAGGGGCAAGAAGTGACAGGGTTAAATGAAAAAGTGAAAGTCGGTCAGTCATGTCCGACTCTTTGCGACCCCATGGACTATACAGTCCATGGAATTCTCCAGGCCAGAATACAGGAGTGAGTAGCCTTTCCCTTCTCCAGGGGATCCTCCCCACCCCGGGATCGAACCCAGGTCTCCCGCACTTCAGGCGGATTCTTTACCAGCTGAGCCACAAATAGATACGGTAAAAATAATTTGGTCTTGGCAGTTAGCAGCCTTGACTTCTCCCCCCGGCTCCTGATCCCTTTAAGAAAGATTCTTTACTTGACAAAGGCAATATAACCTACCTCAGTATTTCCTGAGATTGCCAGCTGCTAAGAATTGCTCAAGAGCGCTTGTTACACGTGCATTCTAGGGACCTTCCTTTGCAGCTCGGTGGGCAGGGGCTGGGAATATGGGTTTTACAATCTCCGTGAGAGATTCTGACAAGTTAGCGTGTTTTAATAAAGTGTTAAAGGTGCAAAGTAGGATGTATTAACAAAAAGAAATCAGGACACCGTTTTGTGCAGTCTTTAGCTAAACGGTAGGATCATCACTCCTACCACTTAACAGACAGATGAAAAACCCTGCCCTACAGAAATGTCCCTTTTCCTCCTCGTTCCTTACGTCTTTTATCTGTCACCATCCCTAACCTAGAGCTGGAGTGGTTTTCTTCCGTCCCAGGTCCGCGGGAAGCAGGCTCTACACGGAACCGGGCGGGCCCGTGGCCACGTCCTTGTCCGGCAGCTGGCTGCTCCCGTGCCGTGCTCCCATTGGCTGGAAGTTGCCTTGTCCCGAGCCGGAGCGGCCCCTACTCGCCACGCCAGCCGGTCCGACTCCGACTGCCCAGGGGGCGGGGCCGGACGCCGGCCCGGGGGCGGGGCGGAAGGGAGGGGCGGGGCCTCGCGGCTCTGAGGTTGTCCGGGCGGCCTATGGCGCGGTAGGGAGTCCCGGGCCGCTCCCTGCGAGGCCGGGCGGGGCCGGGCCAATCCGGGCGACTGGGCGGGCGAATGCGGGGACTGGCCGGCCGGGCCCGAGGTGCTAGGGGCGGGGGGACAATGGGCCAGTTCCTGGTGCGTCACGAGGGAGTTCCTTAAAGGGGAAGTGAGCGGAGCTGCGGGGCGGACGTGGGGTGCGGTGGTCGGCGGGGAAGGCCCCCCGCGTTTCAAAATAATGCCCGCGGCGCCCTCGCGACCATGCAATGGCGAGCGCTCGTCCTGGGGCTGGTACTCCTTCGGCTTGGCCTCCACGGAGTGCTGTGGCTCGTCTTCGGGCTGGGGCCCAGCATGGGCTTCTACCAGCGCTTCCCGCTCAGCTTCGGCTTCCAGCGCCTGAGGGTTCCCGACGGCCCCGCGTCTCCCGCCTCGGGGCCAGCGGACCGGCCCGGGGGGCTGTCGGGGCCGTCGTGGCTGCAGCCGCCGGCCCCCGGGGCGGCAGAGGGGAGGCGGCGGCGGGCTCCGCGGCGGCCCGGGCAGGGCGTGTGCGGTCCGGCCCACTGGGGCTACGTGCTGGGCGGCCGGGGCCGCGGCCGGGACGAGTATGAGAAGCGCTACAGCAGCGCCTTCCCACCGCAGCTGCGCGCCCAGATGCGCGACCTGGCGCGGGGCATGTTCGTGTTCGGCTACGACAACTACATGGCGCACGCCTTTCCTCAGGACGAGCTCAACCCCATCCACTGCCGCGGCCGAGGACCCGACCGCGGGGACCCGTGAGTAGCCCGCGCCGGCCCGACGCCCCGGACCGCGCGCCGCACGCGCTTCCTTCCGTCCTCCGGGCGGGTGCAGCCTTAGGTCCTCCGGGTTCCCCCGGCGGTGCCCGGGTGTTTAGTGTCCAGGGGGCAGCGCCCGGCGCCTCGGCTCACCCGCTTTGAGGTCTGCCTGGGCCAGGGGGGTGCGTGGATGGGTCGGTGGCTGTCTTCTGTCTTGATTCTCCTGGAATCTCTGAGTTACTGGACAGCTGAGCCCTTTTACAGATGGGGAAACTGAGGCCCAGAATGCTGAAGGGACAGTGGCACTGCCGAGGAGTGGCTTGGGCTGGGGGCCGGGGGTGGAGGGGGGCGCTTGAACATCCATCTCCAACCCTTTCTCCAGGTGAACGTCAAATGAAACTGAAACGCAGCTTCAAGACCAGCTCTTACCTCCCCGCTTCTAGCCAACTTCAACTTAACTGTATAAAAATATAAAAATTCAGGAGTTGATCCTGAGAAGGGACTTTTAAAGCCATGCAGCGAGTTTGAGGCGGAACAGGGCTACACTCTTTGTGCTTGATTTACAGGGGCTGCTGCTTAGGCTGAGGATGGTTAGGTGGAAGCGGGAGAGAGAAGTTGAGTGGTCCAGATTTAGGGTCACTCGGAGTGACCTTCTTTGCCCCGTAGGGTCTGTCCCGTAACCTCCCTCACTCTGGTGGCAGAGTTGTGAGGAAAGCTCTGCCAGCGCTCCCCTTCTGTCAACCGTGTTTGCAGAGGCTGAGCTCAAGGGTCACCGCTGTTGACCTCAGAGTCCAAGAGGGCAGCGCTCCCAGCTGAGGACCTCCTAGTTGGCGGGAACTAGTGTGCCTTGACACTAACCCTGTTAGACTGGATAGGTGACTGACTGTCTTTCTGTGGCTCGCTCCCCTCGGGTGGGACTGGAGGAGTTGGGCTGCTGGTCCCTTTGGACATTGGAGGCTTGTGATTTCCTTCACCTGATGAGAAGCAGCCAAGTTCAGTCCTTAGGTCCTAAAAAAGACCCCATACACTAAAGGGGATTGAAGAGTTTTAAAAATGGTTTGATTATCTACAAACTCTTGTCTTAAATTGCATTTGGAGAGAATGATTTTTCATGAAGCCATGGACACATCCCGGGTTAACTGAAAAGGACTGGGCCTTTCTAAAATTGTAGGAAACTGATGAGTTATTTTTTCATGTTTCACTGTATCAGGCTTTATACACAGAAGTGTATTTTCTATCTCAATTTTTTTTTTTGAGAAAATTTTTAATTAAAAAATTTTAAAAATATTACTGGGCTTTTCCAGATTGGGGGAAATTGAGTTGTTTTGCTTAAGTGACTTTCTTTGCTTCCTGATGACATATGCTGATGAGTGGTTTGGTTTGACTGTTCAGTGACAGTCTGGATAAGTTGGGGTCAGGTCGCTTTGAGACAGATAGATATGTTACTGTTGGAAAGACGGAGTTAGAAATATCGAAGGGATACTGTCTGAGAAGAGTTGTGCCCATAGGTTAATAATAAACCTTTTGGTCAGTCAGCCTTGGTGTCTTTGAGGAGATGAAAGAGCTCTGGGATTATGGCAGCCTTGAATAGACCCTGGCCACTTGTAAAGTGAAAAGTTAATTTTTCTTCCTCCTTTTCCTTTAACATACCTACTCTCAGACTTTAGTATCTTTGAGGAAACAGTAGACCACATTTATACCTCTGAAATAAATGGCCAGTAATAAATATATTCCAGATATTTATTTTAAGCAGATGTATTCTTATAATTGTTGTCAAGTGAATTCCCATGATTCATGTTAAAAATAAAATAACTATTTGAATAATATGTAAAAAGTACAGAAATGAAATGCGAGTGCTAAACATATGTGTCTTTTCTTTGTAGCCACATTTACTTAAGGCTTAACTTGCCTGCCTTATTTGACTGGAGATAGGGTGAGGAGTATTGACATGAAATAAATAAAACCGGAACACTGTTTAAAAATAGGAACTGTTTCTGTCCTACAGATCACTATGCAAACTCAGTTCCACTCACATCCCCAGTTTGGGTTGGAGGATCCAAATTCAGGTTCCTTCAAGTCAAGCTGGATATTAAATATTTGCAGTCTCATGAACCAGCAATGTTATTTCAGACCTCGGTTATGTGACCCTTCTTTGCTTTCTGCCCAATGCTATTGCAGTTCAAACAAGAAAGCAAATCAAACCAAACCCATACTGGTTCCCACATGGACTGGTTCCTAGGCACCTCTCGTTTAGAATGGCTCCTCCACATTGCTCTTCCTTCCTGAAATCCTGGCCTGTTCAGAATCAGGCGCAAGTCTTTTTTTCCATGACGTCATTGAACTATTTGAAGATGACTGTCCTTGATCTACTCAGTTCTCCTTTTAGGTCCTCTCCTTGAAGCCGCTGTTCCACGTTTTAATATCGCACGACAGTTGAATACTGTTGTGAGTTCACCTTCCTGTTCCTTTGTCTTGTCTCCCCAGAATATCAAATCCTTGGAACACAGGGACTGTTTGTTATATTACCTCTGTGCCTACCCAGCACCAGGTAGCTTTCTGAACAGGTTAAGTATATGTGGGAATTTTTTTTTTTTTAACACATACCTTTAATTTTGAACACTCTGTGTGAGCATTACCAGAAATTTTCTATGAAAGGCCAACGTTCTCTCCATCGTCTCTGTTATGGGTTGAGAAGAACCTTAAAAATTCAGAGTGGGATGAGGGTCATGAATAGCCATACGTGATGAATTAAGTGGGGTGCCGTTGTGGTTTGGCAGCCACTTATGTGGAAAGACGAGTACTTTTGAGCCCAGCCTGTTACTGATTCTTGAATACCCGTTCCTGTCCCAGAAGTTTGAGTTCCTGGCCAGGCTGGATGGTGATCAAGAAGATCTCTACAGAACAGGTCCGCAGTCTTAACTGCACGGTGGGCTGGCCTGAATGGAGTCATGAGAGTTTGGTGCTGTTAGGCCCAGAGGCTTTTGTGATGTTTATTTTTTCTTTCCTTCCCCTCTCCATTTTTCTATTTTTCTCTCTTGGCACATTTGAAAAGAGTGTGTATCAGTGATCTGGTGAAAAGAAAGTGAAAGTCGCTCAGTCATGTCTGACTCTTTGTGAACCCATGGACTATGCAGTCCTTGGGATTCTCCAGGCCAGAATACTGGAGTGGGTAGCCTTTCCCTTCTTCAGGGGATCTTCCCAACACAGGGATCAAACCTAGGTCTTCTGCATTTTGTAGGCGAATTCTTTACCAGCTGAGCCACCAGCGAACCCTGGTCTGGTAGAAAATAATTTAAAGGTGTTTTAATGAACGCCTTAGATCTTTTGAGTGGATTTGTCTGACTGAATGGAGAGAAGGAAGTACCAGTTATCACAAATACAGTTTTTCCTGTGACAGCTCTTGTACCGGTTCTTTGTCAGTAACTGCGAGGGTGTTCTGTTGAGAAGTATTTTAAACCTGAGTCCCTTTTAGCTATGTCCTAAAAGCAAAAGCACAGTAAAACATGGGACGGAGTTCAGACCTCCAGACCAGTCACTCCTTCCAGGGGCCGGGGCCAGTGGGGAGGGCGACAAATGCCACAGAAGAGAGTATTGCTTGGGAAGGTGGTCACACGCGGTTCACCAGCATCTAGCCTGGAGGCTAAGTGATGAGGGGCCCCATTTTCCGCTGAGATGGGTGTTTGGAGGCAGCTCTTTGTTTCTGAACAGCAAAGCAAGGGCGGTAAATATTTAAGTCCAGGAGAATGATCTGGAGCTGGCTGAATTGAGGCTCTCTCTGTCTCCTTTGCCCTTCTCCTCCAGCTTTTGATACTTCCTATACCCTTTCTGGCTGGCACTGCCCTGGAAGTGCAGATTTGAACCCACAGCTCTTGTCTTGAGGGGACCTTTTACGATTGTGTACGTGTGTTTAGAAAGAATCAACAGCTGGAAGCAGCAGGTGCGGTTTTTCAGCCGTGCAGTGTGCTGGCTTCATGGCTGTGAGACACGGGTTTGCCCAGGTTCCTAGACAGCCCCTTCCAGATAGCCTGCTGCACAAAATGTAGGTGAAGTTTTGCTATACGTTCTTTGCCTTAGGCTGAGTGGCATGAGCAACATAAAACTAAAGTTCAGGTAAGAGAAGATGTGAAGTGTTGGAGCTGTTTGCACCTGCGCCACATGGGGCCTGCTTTGCCCCAGCTAAGGCACATAGGAGGCCTCTGAGAGGCAGAGCAAGCATCAGGAACACAGAGATGCTTGCTGTCCCTAGGGGTGTGGGACAGGATCCTTTAGAGACACCCAAGGAGTAGGTAACGTGGTCTGGGGATTGGATGGAAGATGTCATAATATCGGTGCATCAATTGCTGAAAACAAAACTATGGCTTTTTCACTGTGGTCTTTCATACTCATAACCTTTAAACAGTCATCCTGTTTCCCTCCTTACTTAAATCTTTTTCATTTCTCTCCTCAGTTCCAAATGTTTTCAAGCTTCTGCAGTTATTAGTACTTCCTGGGTCTGCGGGGATGGGATGGGAATAACTGAGCCCCCTAGAATTTGTCAAACTGACTTTATGACTTTCACTCTTTTTCCATCCCCACCTTTCCCAGATAAATTATTGTTGTCTTGGTGGCTTTTTTAGCGTTACAAAGAACTTGTCAGTTAACCTCGCTGCGGTCCTGAAGTTGGCATCTGAAGATGATTTCAGAATGGGTGTTGATTGTGGGGCAGGAGGTGTGTGGCAGAAGCATTAACACAGCTCTCGTTACGAGAAGCCCTGCCTTTGTTTCTGTTAAAGTTCCATCCTGTTAGACCTCCTCAAGATTGATGGAGCTGGGGTGGAGGGGTGGGATTCTTTGGGTGAGATGTTAGTGAAACAATGTAGAAAGCAGTTAATTTATTCCCCCACCCAAAGGACAGATGAGCGAGATGGGGACCATAGTTGAGGTATTTATTTGATGCTTTGTGTGTGTAATCTGCCGCAGTGTCTGATTTCTGGATTCAAGTTTTAGTTACAGGTCATGTGACAGGGCCTCTCCTTTTTCATTCCTAACGATTTCAAAATCAGAGCTTTTTGAAGCTAGACAGAGAGATCATCTGTGGCGATAAAACTGGATCTCACAGAGAGCAACGACTTGTTTTCCATTTCCTTGCTTCCTGTTTCATGCTCTTTCTTTATACCATAGTATAAATGCATGCATCTCTGCTCGCCTGTGACACTGTAGAGGTTGTCCCTTGTGTGGCAGAAGGACCATTGCCCAACTGATCCATCCACAGTAGTCCCTGAATAAATAAAACCTTCCAGCAATTTTAGTTTCTGATGAGTATTTAGTTTTATTGTTTTTTTCCACCCTCTTTTAAAGTACCTTTGTGTAATTTTCATTTCATTTCTTTTTCAGTTCAAATCTGAACATCAATGATGTGCTAGGGAATTATTCCCTTACTCTGGTTGATGCGTTGGATACCCTTGCAGTAAGTGTTCAGCCTTATTATTTTTTTGAAGTTAATTAAGATATTTTGGAGTTAATACCTTTGCTTCCCCCCAGGGATGAGAATTGCAGGAAATGTGATGCTCAGAATGTATTCATAGTCATTGTTTATTTTAATGAACTTAACATGGAGAGCAAGAAAAACACTGAAGGTAAAATGAGGGGAAATGTGATCCCCCTAAAAATGTGGAGAAGGCAGTGTGATTATTTTGGGGAAACCTATTTTTGTCCCAGTTTCCCAGTATTTTATTCCTTAAAGGAACCAGTTTACAGTTACTGGAGTTAAGATTTCTGAAGTGAAAGTCAAGATCTCCAGGGGATAAGATCCCCTGAAAGGTCCCACAGCTCCTGACTCCCTGAGAGCAGGTCCAAGCCCTGTCCCAGCCTCTGCAGGAGACCGTCTGTGTGAACCCTCTTGTGTTCTTTGCTTTCTGAGTTGCGTGTGGGCACTGCCAACTCCAGACTTGGGCTGCCAACTTGGAGACTGCCTTTACCTTCTTCTGAGCCCTTATCAGTTTCCCTCAGCTGGAGACCTTTGCACACATTCGCACATGGAGAACAGGCAGGCCCCGTGCATGGTTCTTATCACCAGGCTGCCCTGTGCATATGCTCTGCTTCATGGCGAGGGCCTGTATTCCAGCAGAATGTTAAAAAATTTCCTTATACACCTGATTTTACTACCTCTTGACTCTTCTTCATTGTTTCAGCACACTTTTACCATTAGAAAATTTTTACTCTAGCCCATTCCCAAGCCTGCATTTTAACTGTCCTTAAAAGAGTTTAAAAGTGTCAGGAGTTAGAATTGGGTAACGCTAGCTAAGATTGCATTGCAGGTGTCCTAGGTCTTGGCTAGCAGCAGAATTACCAGAACTTGGGGAGAGCTTGAGCGGTCTTTGTGTATTCCTCTAGGCTCACGGTCTGCAGGAAGTCCAGGGTTGCGTGCTGCCAGGCTGTAGTTACACAGCAGTTTAGTTTCCCTTCTCAGTTTAATTTCTCCTTCTCAAGTGATGGTTGCTGCCTCTCAGTATCTACCGTCGCTCGTCAAAATGGGCCCAGACTAGTGTTGTCATTTAGTCACTGTCGTGTCCAGCTCTTTGCGACCCCGTGGACTGTAGCCCGCCAGGCTCCTCTGTCCTTGGGGTTTTCCAGGCAAGAATACTGGAGTGGGTTGCCATTTCTTTCTCCAGGGGATCTTCCCAAACCAGGGGTCAAACCTGGCATCTCCTGCATTGGCAAGCAGATTCTTTACTGCTGAACCCACCCAGGAAGCCGCCCAGACTAGTATGTTCACCCTAATTAGACTTAACTCGTTGAAGATACCAGAGGCTGACTCAGCCTACAAGTATTGCTTTAAAAAAAAAAATGCCAAGACATATGCATATATATATAGCTTATGAAAGGCCACCTTTTCTCCCTGAGCCCTCTCTTTTGGTCCCATTGTATCTTTTTCTCTCTCTGCTGTGCTTGTGAAGTACAGAGACCTCGCCTCTGTTCATCACTGCACTCTGTCCACACCTCATGGTGTCCGATACGTGGTGGGAGTACCAGTAGGTGTTAAGAAAATGAATTTTGACGAGTCTTGACATTTCCCAACACAGATTCCAAGGGTGTCCTCCCGCAAAGGAGAATTCTGTTCCCAAACGAACTTGAGAAATCCTCCCAGTCTGCCCACTCTTGGAAAGCCACAGTGCACAGCAGCCTATTCAAGGCTGTGAGAAGTTCTCCAGTCTAGCCTGTGTAATGCTTCTGTCCAACCCAGCTTTTCTTAAGCCCGAGTGAGCGATTTCAAAGCATCATTACTCTGTTCTGTAGCTTCTAAAATGGTAAATTACAATATGTCACTGAAACCTTCCTCCTCTGTCTTGCTTGTGCTCTGAGCTCATATCAGCATCTGCAGCTGCTAACAGATTCGGCTGCTGGTGAACATCTGTAGGGAAACAGACCCATTTCTGTGGTTTTCAAGGTAGAAATATCCGGTCTTTGATGTATGCTGCAGCCTTCTTTTTCAGATGTTACTTCTGTTGAGGTTTCCCTTTGCTTTTGCTAACATTTTAAACAAACTGTAACAGGTGTATTTGGGAAACACTCAGACAATAGCAGTCCCTTGACTACTTGATGCAACTTGCAGCAGGATTACATAATCTTGTTAAAAAACGAAAAACAAAACTAAAAGCCAGAAAAGAAACTGTACTTTTTCTGCATGGAACAGCAAAATAACAGTGAGGGGGAGAAAGAGAAAAAAGATGCACTCGATCAATAAATACTAGGAGATAAGACACACTTGAAAAAGTAGTGTCTCAATGACATCATTTGTTTTTTCTTTCTTTTTCTTTTGGATGTGTCCCTATGTTGTCATTATAGTCCCAGGATGGTCATAAAATTTTGAACATGAAAGCATTTCAGTTCAGCTTAATTTATCATATTTTATGCTCAATTTGCACTTCACATAAGAGAGAGAAGCTTGGAATGATACCATATCCACCCACCCAAAAATAGGAATCATAATTCTAGAATAATTTTTACAAAGGACGTAGGGCTGGTTACTTGCGTGTTGTGTTGGTTTTGAATGCCATTGGCCTTATGCTGTCCTCCCAAAGATAATACCACTATTTCTCAACGTGTTCAGACATCTGGGTAACAAGCAAGGAGTCAATTTCCCAGATGTTTTAGTCTCCTGGGAGCCAAGCGCCCAAGCTGTTGAATTATTTGTGGAACAGAGGGAATATCATGTTTTTTGTTTCTTTAATTTTGGGATTGGTTTTTACTCATTTCAGGAACTTCAGGAACTGTAATGCCTGCCTTGCTAAATAAGATCAGAGTGAAGCTGAGGGAGGATGGGAAGGGGTGATGAGGGCTGCTAATGATTTTGTGAGGAGTTATTATCAAAGTTTTGCCGTCTGGTTCTTGAGTTTGGTGGAAATGGGCTTGCCGTCTGTCCCAGAATATGTTCTAAGAGATAACTGGGCTTTTCTGTTTCTACTCCCATGAGTGGCAAAACCACAGCACGTACAGATGTTCAAATGATGTGGCCCAGCTCCTGCGATCATGTAACCTCATCATTTCATGCCATCATAATGGCTTGTGTTCCTCTTTTTAAAGATAATGGGAAATTCATCTGAGTTCCAGAAAGCAGTCAAGTTAGTGATCAACACAGTTTCCTTTGACAAAGATTCTACCGTCCAAGTCTTCGAGGCCACAATAAGGTAAAAGGATTGTCAAACAGACTGAAAGCCGCTCTTGTGTGTGTGAGTGAGGGGAATATCACTCTGAGGGTTCACAGGCCATGGGGTCCAGCTAGGGAGTCCATGTAGACCTCATGGGATCACTGTCCCTTTTTCATCTCTTTTGGATGGATCAAACGGAAACAATTGCCATTTCACAGTAATTCCATTTGGGGCTAAATAGAAAGACACTTTAATGTGGATTTTAGATAGGTGTTCCTTTAAAAGAGTTTTTCATGATTTCACTTTAGGTCTGGTCTCATTTCCTTCACTGTGTCCTAGGAAAACCCCTGTGTATTTCTGAAGAAATCGGAGTTTCTCATCTCACCTACCACCTGCAGAAAACCACTGCTGACCTTGTGGGTCACTTTGCTCCCTGTATATCTTTCTCTCTCCCTCCTTTCCTCTCTACCCGCCTAACTTCCTCCATCTCTCACTCTAATGTATTGGCTCATGCTTTATATCTCACCTTTTTAGTTTGATAGAGTGTGACGGCTTTCCTAGTCCACTGAAACTTTGAAAATTGTATCATTGCATAACATTCCAGATGTAGCATTTATTTACCGTTCTGAAAGATGTCACAGTCCACTTCAACTCATTGGAGAGGATGTGAACTCATGGCCCCTGAGGGCTGGGGATATAAGCTGATGGCCCACGCCTCTCGGTGGGTCATTCTCTCCTCTTCTCTTCCTCTTCCCCTCCTTGCCTCTGCACCAGAAGTTGGAGAATTTCATGTTGTTTGGCAGCCAGAGCTACAAAAGTTACCTGGTATTTGTTATCTTGCCCTTTTCTCTTTTCTTGTTTGGCTAAGTTTTCTCCCCCAAGTGAGAGAAACCAAGAGTAGTTTATTAATACTAAAAAGTGATATGATGAGGCCACTCCCTTGTGATGAGATGATGACGATGACCAAACACAGTTATTGCTAGTAGTGGATTATTCTTAGTGGACTCGGATGGATCACCTTCTCCCTTTCAATAGTGTGCGTAGCTAGCAATTGATTGTTCCCTGTCAGGGGCCAGAAGGAATATCAGGGGGCCAGTAAGTTCAGCCCCTCTGATTCAGGCAGTGCTAAGTCCATAGAGGATTCGAGCTTGCTGCTGTCATTCTGAACCGGATTGTACAGCCAGCATGGTTTTTATTCTTCTGTTCTCCCTGTCCGTAGGGTCCTGGGGAGCCTTCTCTCTGCCCACAGAATAATAACCGACTCCAGGCAGCCCTTTGGCGACATGACGGTTAAGGGCTACGACAACGAGTTGTTGCACATGGCTCACGACCTGGCCGTGAGGCTCCTCCCTGCCTTCGAAAACACCAAGACTGGGATCCCCTACCCTCGGGTAGGTGGGCGGTTCCCATACTCACTTCCTGCCTGAGTGAACGCTCTTTGTTGATGAATTTATTTGTGGGGAGGAGTGGGGCTGATGTGGGAGGGGAAATCCGTGTCCTTGAGAGAATTTAGCCCGAAATATGATAGACATAGGTTTTAACTCACTCAGCATTTAGTGAACACCTATTGTGTGCTGGGCATAGGACATACCTGACTTATCCTTCCTCCTAAGGGAGTTACGTTCTCCTCTCAGCCTTCTTAACCCCTTTTACAGAGGGGGTTTGTATCCCATGCTACAACAAAACGGTGAGGGGAATTTGTCCTCATTTCTGACCTGGGTCCATTTCCCCAGACACCTTCACATGTATACCAAAGGAGTTCAGTGTATGTTGTTTTGAACATTTCACGGGGATCTTTCAAATAAAGCCTGTACAGACCAGTAAGTTAGCTGCTGATTTAAATGCAAGATCGGGAAGAAGATTCTATCTTTGTGGCATCTGATTTGCTGAGCCCAGAACTCCTCTGGGAATTGAGTCAGCCTCTGGGTAACCAGTGGAGAGCTGCCAGACCTCAGGAGCCTCCATGATAGAACAGGCTGTCACATTCTTACTGGTTGCCCTTTCTCTCCGAGCCCGAGATTTGTTAATGTTTGCTGAGCAGGACTGGCTTCATAACAGCTCAGTTAAAATTTCTGCATGATTCTACAGCTTGCCTTTGCTCCTGTACCAAAGCCTGGTGCTGCCTAACCATGAAGAGAACCTGGACATCTGCTGAAAAGAGGCATATTAGTGAATATCGTTACTGCGATTCCCCCACAACTGGCTCTTATGAATGACACAGGGCTTTGGTGTTCGTATCATCTTGTGTGTGTGTCTTAAACTCGTCCCCGTGTTTGTCTCGGATGTAGAGCGAGAGGCAGGGGCCGACTTACCTGCAGTGAGCCTGGTTCCCTCGTGGAGTGTGGTCGCTGCGACTTGGCCTCCTGGCCACGTGAGTTCCTTCACTGTTGCCGCAAATCCTTTGTCTCTTCCTCTCCCCAGGTGAATCTAAAGACAGGCGTTCCTCCAGACAGCAATAATGAGACGTGCACGGCCGGTGCGGGTTCCCTCCTGGTGGAATTTGGGATTCTCAGCCGGCTGCTGGGGGATTCCACGTTTGAGTGGGTGGCCAGGCGTGCCGTGAAAGCCCTTTGGAGCTTGCGGAGCAGCGACACGGGATTGTTAGGTGCGGGACCCTGTCGGGTCTTGGCTCCGAGAGCATCACCCCCTTTCCTTTCCTCTTCGGGGCCCTCCCTCCTCGCCACTCCTTTTTCCTTGTGCCGTGGAACCTGAAAATTGACAGTTCAGAGGGGGGGCCCTCAGTGTTCCTGCATGTGACTTTTCTCTTAGAGGGAGGCTGGAAGGTTTGATGGCATGGAATCATGCTTCTCCTATCTGCGGGCTCCCTTCTGATTTGAATCCCTTGGCATATTCCGCTTGAAAATAATTGTTAATGGGAATGCTATAAAAAGAGCTGCCCCGGAGGCAAATGATGTTGCTTCAGTATGAGGTTCCAAATATAGGAATTTAGAGTTAACTGGTAGAGTGACTTTCTCCTTTAAAGAAATCTTGCCATGTAATAGTAGGTTGAAAGCCAGATTAAATCAGTATTAGATTTTCCTTTTTTTCCTCCAGAATTTTGGTCAAGACGTTATTAAGAAATTATTTCAAACATACTGAAAAATTCAATTTCCTACTGAAGTAGGAAAAAGGGTCATGAGTAATGAGCCCCTAGGTACTTCATTATTTATCTTCAATAATTCTTAGTGTTTTGGTACCTCAAGATGTTATCTTAAAATAGGTTGTTGCCTCTTGTGACTGTCTTGTTTTGAGAAATATTTTCTTCTTGCCACTGGGAGGAAATTGGATTGGGGGTTCTGGAGCCTGGAGTGTCATTGCAAAAGCACTGACATTTAAAAGTGTTTTTTGATTATTTCTTAGGTTCTCACAAACTTGCTGTATTTAACAACAGGAGAAATAAAATAATTGCCCCATTTGTCACCCAGTGTCACCCCAAACTGTCAACTTTAAAATTTTCCATAAGCCCTTGCAGCTTGTCATAAGAAACTTTTGTATAAAGCAGTTTTAAATTCTAATATAGCTATTTTCAGTCTTGCTTACATTTGTCAAATCACGCAAGAGGCCTTGCACCTTGCCTCCTCTTTCCTGTGCGGGATGAAGTTACTGAGGGGCCACGGGGCCGAAGTAGGAGGCCCCCTTTCCCCCCAGCCTAGGTCCTGATGACGAGCTCCACGTATTTTCACAGGCAATGTTGTGAACATTCAGACGGGCCACTGGGTCGGCAAGCAGAGTGGCTTGGGTGCCGGACTAGACTCCTTCTATGAATACCTCTTGAAATCTTACATTCTCTTTGGAGAAAAAGAAGACCTAGAAATGTTTAATGCTGCATATCAGAGTATTCAGAACTACTTAAGAAGAGGGTATGTCTCCTCACCGTCTATTTCTTGTTTCATTGAGCAGGTAGAATGTATCATGAAGTATTCATTTTCTTTTCCACGTAATTCACGGTCTCTGGTCTCTGTCCTCATTTTACTGCCTCCTAGTTGTTTGCTGGTCATTTGGGGATGAAGAGGTATGTTGGCTCTTTACGGCTGTGTAACAATATACCCTGAAACCGAGTGGCTTAAGCAGCGAGTGTTCTCTCACCGATTCTCACGAGGTCGCCCACAAGCTCTTGGTGGGGGCTGCAGCCCTGTCATGGCTCGGGCCAGGCAGGAGGGCTCCCTCCCAGGCTTCAGTTGCTCCCTGCTGTGGCCGGAGGCCTCAGTTCCTTGCCACATGGGCCTCTCCACAGGCAGCTCATGGCAGCCGGCTGCCCCAGAATGAGAGATCTGAGAGAGACAGAACCGCCAGAAACCACCCTGTGCTTTCACGCCCTAATCTGGGAGTGACGACCAGCACTCCCGCTGGGCTCTCGTTCATGCACACCAAGGCTGCTGCAGTGTGCGAGGGGCAGCACAGAGGTGTGAGAGCGGCCACTGGGGGGTCCTTGGGGGGTGGCTGCCACAAGGAGTGACACGTCCCTGGGTTTCTCCGGCTTTAATTGTACACAGAGCTGTCTTGTAGCACAGTTGTTCTGGTTCACATTCCAGAGAAGTTAGGTCCGGTCGTTATACTTGATGAGAGGAAGGATAGTTACCACATTTTTTCCCCCTCTGTGTTTGTTTTCTTAGTAATTATTCTTTATTTTATTTTTTAAAATTTATTGGAGTATAGTTGGTTTACAGTGTTGCATTAGTTTCTATTACACAGCAAAGTGCCGTATTTGTTAAAAACAGTACTGTTGGCTGCTTGTCAGCTGTGCATTCAGGATGGCAGAGGAGTGCCGTTCGAAGCTGCAGCAGCTTCTACCCTCTGCCTCCTCTCTCTTCCGGGCTCTTCCCCTGTGCACTTGGCGTCTGTTAGTGGCCAGTGCAAGTGACAGCCACTGCGTTGCCTGCTTGGTAGGATTTTCTCGGACATATTTCCACCCTAGCTGTTGTACGAACATGCGAGTGCTGTGTTTAGGTAATAGGCTGTTTGGCCAGAGTTCAGTCCTTTTTGCTTTTTAAAGCCCCTACATTTACTAAATCGAGTGGTAATCCGTGAGCTCCTTGCTCTGATGTGCTCCTCCAGGCCCAGGCCCCCTGGTTTAGGATTCTATTAGAGATGAGACTCTTGTGCAGAAAGAACTAGGATTCCCCACTCAGGTCAAAACTGACTCACTCTTTATACCAAATTGAAAGTGAAAGTTGCTCAGTTGTGTCCGACTTTGCGTCCCCATGGACTATACAATCCATGGAATTCTCCAGGCCAGAATACTGAAGTGGGTCACCTTTCCCTACTCCAGGGGATCTTCGCAACCCAGGGATTGAACCCAGGTCTCCCACATTGCAGGCAGATTCGTTACGAGCTGAGCTGTAAGGGAATCCCAAGGATACTGGAGTGGGCAGCCTAATCCCTTCTCCAGCGGATCTTCACGCCCGAGGAATCGAATAGGGGTCTCCTGCATTGTAGGCAGATTCTTTACCAACTGAGCTATGAGGGAAGCCCTGTACGGAAATGCTTTTGCATTGGCTGGGAAATATACCAAATTACATGGAAATGTTACTCAAACCTGCATGTCAAAGTGCTTTCTGCAAAGTGCAGTGACAAGTCAATGTGTTACGATGGCCAGGTTCAGAACTTTTGTCTTACAGTAGGTGTCATCACATGCTAGAGTACTGTATTGACAGGGAGAGGCGGTCTGTCTCCAAAGGTTTAAAGAATGTGTTGGGAGCAAAGGTTGATGTTGATTCCACCGAAGTGAAGCTGCGGGGGCTGACGGAGGAGCAGGACTAGAGCCGTGTCTCTCCCTTCTCTCTGACCGTTCTGCTTGGCTCCTCAGCCGGGAAGCCTGTAACGAGGGGGAAGGGGACCCACCCCTCTACGTCAACGTGAACATGTTCAGCGGGCAGCTCATGAACACGTGGATCGACTCTCTGCAGGCCTTCTTCCCTGGACTGCAGGTATTTCACAGTTCCGTTTGCTCAGTGAAAGAAGTCATTGGAAAGGGTTCCGTCCCCTCTTTTCTTTTTATGGTTCCAGAACGTTCTCTGGCTCCTTCAGATTTGGGCAGTTCATGGCACAGTGTGTGTCCATTATTCTCTCTGAAAATTACTCCGCACTGAATCAGCGCAAAGCCATGCCTGAAAAGTAAAGGGTGTGAAATTTCTGGTCCATTTCTCAGCCGTTGATGCTTTGCTCATGAGGAGTTAGCCTCTTGTCCTCTGCAGTTCTCAGGGATATGGCGCTGGTGGCCAGATGGGGGTGGCATCTGTCCCACAGGCAGCTTTTGGGTTGGGTCTGTGTCCGGCTGTGTTTGTGGATCAGATAGCCAGTGGGTGGAGGGGGAGCCCAGGGCCCGTGTGTCCTATTCTGCCACTGTGAGAGCCCCGTCCTAGCCTGGGGACCCGCGTCTTTCCCGCAGGTTCTGATAGGGGACGTGGAAGACGCCATCTGCCTGCATGCCTTCTACTACGCCATCTGGAAGCGCTACGGGGCCCTCCCCGAGAGGTACAACTGGCAGCTGCAGGCCCCCGACGTGCCCTTCTACCCGCTGAGGCCCGAGCTGGTGGAGTCCACGTACCTCCTCTACCAGGTATGCTGGGAGACCCGGAGCAGCTGGTTCCCAGGGAGTGCCTGCTGTCAGCTGGAGAACCAGTTACTTCACAGGGACTCTTGGGGTGACCGCCAGCCCAGAGCCTGGTGAGCACGGAGCGTCCGCTGTGGTTCCACAGGACAGGGGAGGCGTCTGCGTTCACGTACATGTGTGGCCCACATTCTGCACAGCTGGCTCATGTCTTCACTCCAGGACTTGTTTCTCCCATCCTTAAAACAGTCAAAAGGCAGATTTGGCACTCACTGTTTTCCAAATATATTGGACCAAAAAACTCTCCTGGGGGGACGCAGTTTTGTCCTCATGTACTGTGGAACCCTGGGCTGTGTAAATTATTCAGATGAACAAAGTCTCTTTCTTAGCTGGAAAGGGAATCACCTGGGGTTCATCTGAATAACTATTTTTGTTTAATCCTTTAAAATAAAAACAGTCTTTCTCTTTTGTGAAATTACTTGAATGCCAGAGGAAATGTCACTTTAACTGTGAAGAATCTTTTCCCCCACAGTTTAAGGCAGATATTTATACCTCTGTGCACACCATGCATATATACACACCGAGAGCTGTCAGCCATTCGCAAATATAGCACCAGAGCTGCTCACTTTCTGAGAAGCTGGCCCTCTGTGCGTTCAGCAGCCGTATAATGACGTGTGTAGTGGGCAGGCCCTTGCACGGAGATCTTCCGAGCTCTGCTAGCAGGATTAGTGCTGTAGTTTATTTTTATTTTTTTCATTTTGACTGCACTGGGTCTTCCTTGTGGCGCGTGGGCTTCTCTCGTTGCAGAGCATGGACTCTCGAGTGTGTAGGCTCAGTGCTTGTGGCACATGGACTTAGTTACCCCATGGCATGTGGGATCTTAGTTCCCTGACCCAGGATCAGACCCGTGTCCCCTGCTTTGGAAGGCAGGTTCTTAACCACTGGACCACTGAAGAATTCCCAGTGTTGTAGTTTAGATTTTTTCAATAATTAAAAAAAAAAAACAAAACACCAAATCCTTGCCATTTGCTTCTAAAAGAGGGAGAAATCCTGTGCAGCTGGTAATTGACCTCATAGGTAGAGAGACCTCGTGATTTGTGGGTAACCTGTGATTCTGCCTCCCTGAACTCAGGGCCGAGTCAGGCCACTCACATTCCGAGGGTACATGCGGGCACCATCTGAGGCCTCCCCTTAAGCTGAGGTCTGTTGCTCTTGGGTTTAGGCTCTTGGCTTCTGTCACTGCATCTTTCCTCTTGAAGCTTCTTCCTCACATTGACTATTTTCTTAGAAGCCAAAGAAATCTTCGGCTTTACCACCTTGCCCTCTGAAGCCGCTCCCTGCACTCTTCTAATCCAGAGACAGTGACTCTGTGGTTATTTGCTTCTGCTGCTGCTGCGGGGTTGGCACTGGGAATGGATTGTAGATGATCCCCAACTCTTAGACTAGTTTTGGGAGGAAAGTCTTGCCCTCCCAGAGAATTTTTCTTCCCCTCACAAAACCATGTATGAGCCTGTGACAGAAGAGGAAGCAGCCCCAGGTCTGCGTTCTGAGGGTGATTAGAGAACAGAGTGGAGGCCCCTGCAGATGCTTCAGAAATCTTGTCCCCAGGCAATTCTTCCCAGCACTGTGCATGGAATGGAGGCAAAGTCCTGTTTCCCTGTGCCCGCAGCTGACGTTTCTGAAGAGTTCTGAGGCAATACAGAAACTGGATTTGTCCTTAGATGCGGGCCTGTCGTGATGGGGATCAGGAGAGCTAAAGGCAGGGGTTGATCTGCCCTGGAAGCAGGCCTTCTTGCCGTCCCCACCCCCACATTCATGTTAAGCAGGCTGGAGGTGCACTTTGACCAGAATTCACAGCACACCTTAGTCCTTTACCGTTCAAGACCCTGCAGGGTAAAGGGACCGCGCCTCCTTGGGAAAGCCCTGCAGGCAGCGCAGTGTGTATGCATGGCTTGTCTCCCAGGCCCCGCTGGATCACATTCTCTCATGTTCTCTCTAGGCAACCAAGAATCCCTTCTACCTCCATGTAGGAATGGACATTCTGCAGAGTCTGGAAAAGTACACAAAAGTCAAGTTAGTTTCCTAAGTTCCTTCCTTTTCCTGCTGACCACTTTTGTTTTGAGTCATTCTGGGGTAATAATATTCTATTTTGTGTTTTACTTTTTAGAACAGACCCTAATGTTAATTTTGCAGAGAGATTCCTTACTTTTTGTGTGGTAGAACCTGCCCATTATAGTGTGAATTAAAATTCTTTTCACCTTTATTCCTGTAGAGTTCCAGCAGACTCTATGGGTTCTTTTTAAGTAACTTAATTCCCTGTTATACAAATAATACATAAACTAAAAAGTTTAGGGAGTATAGAAAATATAGAGGTAGAATATTATCACTGTGATCTCCGTATGCAGAGATAACTACCATTAGCATCTAAGTATAGAGTCTTACACTCTTTTATACATTTATATATGTCTGTAATGTGTGTATATATGTATAAAAACTAAATTTTGTGACCTGCTTTTCTTAACCTAGTAGTAATAAAAATATTTTCTTACAAAATACTGTTTTAGACCATCTGAATGAGAAGTCAGTCTACAAGTATTGGGACATGAGATGTAAATCAGTCCTTTAGAATTTGCTGCCAGACATTTTTCTTGGTGTCTTGTCTTGCTTTTGGTAAACATTCTCCACCACCCTCATAGCCCTTTCCCAACCATTCACCTGGTGATTTGGCTGCCAGACCACTTTTTAATGAATTAGCAGACAGTCAGTTGAGGCTAAAAAAAAGGTAGCCTTTAAACTCACCCTATTTTGTTTTCCCTGCAGTGTTTGATCATTTGGTTATTCTGTTAATAGATTGCTTCTGCCTCTTAAATGAGCGAGCAGGTGGGAGGGAGCATTGCGGGGATGACCGGACGATTGTCTCCTAGGTGCGGCTACGCTACACTGCATCATGTCATCGACAAGTCCAAGGAGGACCGGATGGAGAGCTTCTTCCTCAGCGAGACCTGTAAATACCTGTATCTGGTACGTGTGCTGTGAGATTCACCCAGAGCGTTTCATTCTGCTGAAAGCAAGCGTGCCTTTTTTTTTTTTAGTGGGAGGATAATTGCTTTACAATGTTGTGTTGGTTTCTGCTGTGTGACAACATGAATGAGCCGTAAGTATACACATGTCCCCTCGCTCTGGAGTCTCCCACCTCCCCACCCCCGTCCCACGCCTGTAGGTCATCGCAGAGCATGGCCCTGTGCTAAGCAGCAAGCAGGCGTGCCTTTTGCTTCCATCTGGCATACACAGGCAGTCATACACGTGCTGGACATCTCGCTGGCCCGGGGTGCCACCCTGTCAGAACAAAAGCACGTCGCTGTGGCCCCTGTGGTTCCTGGCCTCATGGAGGAGGTACCGCCGAGGACACACACACAGAGACCAGCGTCACACAGGGTGTGGAGTGCAGACAGCAGTTCCTAGGGGACCCTTGTGAGCCTGGGGGTCGGAAGGCTTCTCTGAGGAAAAGAGCAGGGTCTCAGATCTCATTTTCCCTGACATGTGTGCTCTCGTGAGACCCACAGCCTGGCCAGCTCCCTGTCCAGACACACATGCTCACCGGTTTGGGTAGAAACTGAACTTTTGGATCTGGAAGAAACCTTTGGGATCATCTGGTCGGTGTTCATTCTTCCCCTTGGGATCTGCCATCTCTGGAGGGAGGTCAGGGCACTTGCCTTGGGTTCCGGGGATGTTGACGTGGCAGAGCCGAGGCTTGAGCACTGGTCCTGATACCTTGTCCAGTGCTCTTTCCACTCGGCTGCTCAGCCATGGACGTGTGAGGCATTGGCACCAGGGCATGAAGCTGCTTTTCTTCTCTCAAGGCTCCAGAGGTCGGGACTTCCTGGTGGGAAACAGCAGGGTGTTTAGGCCAAATCCGGAGATAGCCATCAGTGGTGATAGGTTCGCTGTTTAGTGGTTTCCAAGCCCGGGGGCAGCTGGATTGGAGTCACCCTGTTAAGATTAGACCATGTTGAGTTGGAAGCTTCAGAAGCAGGCACAGGAGTCTGTCATTCTGCCAAGTGGCTCAGGTGGTTCTTCCAGACATCCTGTCCCGCAGCCTTGGCATCTGGGATGTTCACGGGGCAAATCCTGGAGTGAGTGAATGAAGGAGACCCCCAGGGTGTTTGAAGGGAAAGAACTCGATCCGGTCATGGGGGGAGGGGGAGAACCTGGACTGGCCATGTTCTTCTCCTTCGAGCTGTGTAAACACAGACCAGCCCCACTGAGTGTTTTTTTTCTCATTTGTAAAATACTTGAGATGCCTGTAAGGATTTTTCCCATCTTGAAGAGATCTGTTTCTACATTTTGCCTTGTTTGTCATTTTCTGCACACCTGCCTCTCCCACTCTGACCTGTCCCTACTCTGCTAGGTAGGTCTTCGTTCTAGATGCCCTCGCTGCAGCCTTCACCCCCATGTCCACTGCTGAAGGAAGGGACTGCCTTGGGTGCCCTGCTCCCACAGAGCCCATGCAGGAATGTGTGTCAGGGCCAGACCCTGGGGGTCCAGTGAAGAATAAGCCAAGTACCTCCTTCTCTCTGGAGTTTTTACAGTTTAGGGCTTTGATGGGGGCCAGTTCCTGAACCCCAGCACTTGAACTCTCAGGGGAGCGGGGCGAGGAGCACCATCTGGGGCCTAGACAGGCTAGTGTCACCGGGGTCTTAGCCCTGGGCTTTCTGACCTCTAGGTCTAGGTGGGATCAGGGAAGTTCAGGCATCTGAACTTAAACATAACTGGTGATTCTGCCCCATGGGCTTCCCAGGTGCTTCTAGTGGTAAAGAATCTGCCTGCCAATGCAGGAGACATAAGAGACGCGGGTTTGATCACTGAGTCAAGAAGATCTCCTGGAGGAGGGCATGGCAACCTACCCCAGTATTCTTGGCTGGAAAATTCCACGGACAGAGGAGCGGGGCAGGATACCAGTCATAGGGTCACAAAGAGTCAGACTGGCTGAAGCCACTTGGCATGCACGCTTCACAGCCTGGGTTGGTCTGAGAGCTTAGCAAATTCCTATCTCTAAGTAGTCTGGACTCACCCCTATGAATTAGTTCCAAACATGCTACAATTGTATCTTTCTTTTCCCCCACTAGCTCTTTGATGAGGAGAACCCCTTACACAAATCTGGAACCAGGTACATGTTTACAACGGAGGGACACATTATATCTGTGGACGAGCATCTCCGGGAGTCACCCTGGAAGGAGTTCTTCTCTGAAGAGGGAGGGCCGGACCAAGTGGGAAAGTCTGGGCATAGGCCTAAACCTCAGGAGCTGAAAGTCATCAACTCCAGCTCCAATGTAAGTTGCTGTCTCCGGGGGGAGATTTGTCTGTGGAGGTAGAGGAAACACTCCTCATCACGTTGTCATCCGGGGGTCCTGCCAGAATATTCCTGGCGCCCGCAGCTTGGATGATTTGAGAAGAGTTTCAGCAAGGGGCTGTTTCATAGATGCCATGAGGGTGTACGGACACCGTGGGGCCAGCAGCCTGTCAGTGCTACGGGCTGAGGGGCCAGCGGGCAGGGTGGTCATGGGAACCCTGATGCAGAGAAGCCTGTGCTGGGGGCGGCCCTGGGCAGGAGCCGCTGCTCTGGGTGGGCTTCTGTGACTGTGTGGGAGAGGGGCTGGCAGAGTGAACACAGCGCTTCCGATCTGCTGGAGCTTCTCGTGGGCCAGCCCTGCCAGGAGCCCGAGGGCCAGGGAGCCTGTGCATAGCATCCCTCGGGTCAGGACGTCCCTGGAGGTCCAGTGGTTAAGACTCTGCTCTCCCAATGCAGGGGGTGCATGCTTGATCAGCCGTCAGGGAACTAAGATCCCACATGCCATACGGTGTAGCCAAAGAATTTTAAAAGTGCGAGACGCATCTGGCCCCGCTTAAAGGGGGGCTCAACTGGGCATGCCTGGACTGTCCCGGGAGCAGTGGGGAGGGTTTGGAAACAAGTCCTCGAGTCCTTCCTTTCAGCCAAAGGTAGTTGTGTTGATTTGAGCCCAGCAGGAAGGTCTGGACGTGGGTGCTGCATCCGGTGATAGAGCAAACCTCATGATCTCACACTGCATTGTATGCCAGCTCCCTCCTCAGGAAAAGCCTCAGTTGCCAAGAGTCCTGCCACCTCCCCCCAGGCTACCTGGGTTAGGGCATGCCCTCTCATCTCAGACTGTAGTTTTTCCTTTCGTGTCTCACTGAAAGTCTTTATCATCAGTCTCTGAACTAAATCGACAGGCCAGAGCAGAGCACAGTCCTTGAAATTTCCATTAGGCCATGGAGTGTAGATTAAGTGAATAAAACACAACTGAGAAGGAAAGGGAAGGGCAGAAGGAAAAGTAACCCTCAGAGTCAGCACTTACAGAGCTCACATGTGCTGAGCACCAACCTAAGTGCTGAAATTAAGTATGTGAAATTCTCATAGCAGCCCTGGGAGGGGTAGCTAGTGGCTGTGTCCGTTTCACAGATGGAAACAGGGAGGTGCTGAAAGGTTTGGGTCACACGGCGGAGCGCATGGTGGAGCCCTGACTTGGACTGAAGGAGATGCTCACCTCACAGACCAGATCCCATTGTGCCAGGCGCCGGGGATGTGGGCCAGTCCCTGTGGTCCTGGTGCTGCTTGGGCTCAGGGTCCGGTGTGGACGGAGATCTGCTCCCCCTGAGTGCTCGTCAGTAGGAGGCCATGTGAAGCGCTGTAGGGACATGGAAGACGGAGAAATTAGCCTGCTGGCAAGACTAGGAGGGCTTCACTCGGGAGCGTGCGTCTCAGTCGCTGCTGGAATGATGATGGGGAGGTTCCAGAGGGACAGGCAGAAGGCACAGCTCCTACAAAAAGCAGGAGCTGGGGGGGAGGGTGGGGACCACCTGAAGGACCTGCCAGTCTGGATCTTGCAGAGATGAGGCCCCGGGCAAGCAAGTTCTAGTACGAGCAGCAGGAACATGTTTCTCTGAGGAGGGGCATGAATGTATGTGGAAACTGCTTCCACACAACACGTTTGGTTCTTAAACTTAGGTCCCCTCTGAGAGAGAGGAGAAGAAAGCTTAGCACACTTAAGCATGTAAATTCAGAAAAGCAACAGTTTTTGAATAGCCAGTTTTTTTTCTTTTTACAATTCTGGGTCAATTAAACACCCAAGGGATACAGCTTTTTGTCCAAACCATCTGTACTTGCTTGCGTGTATGTCTTTATTTTTTTTGGCGACACCTTGTGGCATGTGGGATCTTAGTTTCCCGAGCAGGGATCGGACCTGTGCCCCCTACAGTGGAAGCGTGGAGTCTTAACCTCCAGGGAAGTCCCTGGGTGCATGTCTTTAGTTTCCCTGGGTCTTTACATCTTCATCTGTAAATTACATCAGTGGTCCTAAACTGGAGGTACCTGTGCTCCTCAAAGGACTTCAGGCAGTGTTCTGGGGACTTTGGTTGTCACAGCTGGGGGTTAGGGGTGGGGGGCATGTAGGTGGAGAGGCCCAGGGATACTGTTAGCCATCCTGTGGTGCCCAGGATAGGCCCAAAAACTCCACAGTGCCAGGATGAGAAACCCCAGGGGAGGTCATCTGGTCACCCCTTCTGAGGGATTAGCACGCAGGGTTTTAACTCATTCAAATGGCACCTCATTGATTTTCTTTCCAGTGCAATCGGGTTCCTGATGAGAGGCGATACGCCCTGCCCCTAAAGAGCATCTACATGCGACAGATTGACCAGATGGTTGGCTTGATCTGATCTGCCCTCCCCCGTGTGGTCTCATCTGAAACCGGACCCCAAACAGCTGAGTCCCGGGCCAGGCCAAGACCCGATCCAAAGTGGAGGAGGACGGAAGTCTGGCCATCCACGATGGTGTAGGAATTTCTTTCCAGCTCCCTGCGCACATCTGGTAGATCCTTGCACACTTTAGTGTTTCTCTTCTGTTCAATAAAATCCCCCGTTTGTCTTAAGGATATACTTTGAAGTAGAAAGGTACGTAGAAGTTGGCCTCTTACGACGTGCCCCATGGACGGGCTGTCTCTGGCTGGATCCTCAGAGCTTCCTACTTCGGGGTCTGTTGAGTTAAGTCTCCTCTGCCTGCGCTCGTGTGAGGGCAGCCTGACTACCTCTCCACCGGAGGATTGTGAATGAATTTCTGTGCAACAGGTCCTGTGGCTCCCCTGACCACCTTGTTTATTGTATTTTGTTACCCTCTCTCTGGATCACTGGGCTCCCTCCCAGGTCTCCACCCGTGACTGTCAGTCACGTGGGGAAAAATCCCGTTATGCATCTGTGCCCCCTGTGTGATTGCCACAGTGACAAGATTATCTGCTCATCTGGGAGCCAGATTCTAACAGGCAGTCTTTTAGGTTCTCACATCACCGGATAAGAGCTTAGCAGGTAGGTCTTCCAGGCAGTGGCCTCTGTTTCTCATGAGCTTACCTGAGGATCTCCCCCACTTTCAGAACCAGGTGCCTTTTAGGGAGAGAAAAATACCTGTGATCATGAGTCTTGTGTCTGCTCACCAAGGATTCTCAGTTCTGACCGTGTTTGGGTTGGGACTGTTTTGTTTTCATTCCCTGTGTCTAGCGCCAGTTCGCCAAGTCCGGGGGAGAGAAATGACCAGATGACTCCTGGCATCCTTGAGCCATTTCTGTGTGGAACACAGGCCTTCGATTAGCGCCTTAGGTTTCTGTTTGGGCCACTGGGTGTCTCAGCTGCTGCTCTGGTTTTAGCAGGCTGGTTTTGCATTGCTCCATGCTGAGACCACAGTGAAAGGGGGATGGATGGGGTATCAGGTAGGTAGATCGGGAAAGCTTCTTGGCCCGTCCTTGCCTTTCAGCCTGCTATTTTAAGCAAGCATATATACGAAGGAAGTCGTGCTAAAGCGCCTCTTTTCTTTGTTGTCATTATTTCCTTAGCGAGAATGGACTGTGTCTCTTTGAACTTGTGCACAGTGCTCAGAGAAAGCAGAGGTGGGCTTGAACCCTGAGCTTGGCTTCCCTGTAGCGTCAGAGGTTGAAATGAATCTCCGCAGAGAGGGTAGGAAGTCTCTTCAAAACCTCCAACTTCACCAGTCGTGTGTGGTTGCCCCCATTACTGCTGGCACACTTCAAATGATTTTATTTTAGTTTTTTTTAAATTAGAGTGCTGCATAAGCCATTGCATTTCCTATCAAAAGAGAAGAGTTTTATTCTTCTTGAAAACTTGTGTTACTGTTTTTTAAAATGGATATATAATTCAATTCTTTGAGATTTCTAGAAAAGGGATTTTCAGTAATAAATGTCACAGTAATAAATGCCTGTCTTTTTAACATTTACTGTGCAAATTGTTTTAAAGGAAAAAACACATCAAATGCTTCTTATTTTACATTTTTTCTTCATTTTAGAAGCATTCTATTTATCAACACTGTCTCATCTACTGAACAGGAAATTTTCTTTGAGGATATCCTGTATTTTTTTCAATGTTTTCATTGCTTCATTGAAACCAAAATATCCCATTTTAAATACGTACACAGACACAAGTGTCCCTGCACCTTTTTTCCAGGTAAACCAAGGTGGGACTATCAGTGAGCCTCTTGGGAGAATGGGGCACCTCAGGGAAGAAAGTGGGCCCTCCGTGATCACACTGTTGTGTGATCACACCCCCAAGACCCCCTCCTGTGGGCTCAGGCATCCCATCGCCCTTTGCACTCTGGACCAGGGGCCAGGGCCTGAGTGTTGCAGAAGCACCTCAGGGCTACAGATTGATGGGAGACGTGTTCCCTCCCAGCTTCCAGGCCCTGGACTTGTACCAGTTGTGAGTCCGAGGGTGAGGGGCTCATTCTCACCCTGGTTGCCAAGCTTTCAGATTGCCATCAGTGACTGGATGCCAGAATGCCATCTCTTGCTAATTACAAGAGAAGGTTCTCTGAGCCACGTTCAGAACTTGCTTTTTTTTTGAAGATCAGAATGTTGACAACTGTGATGTATCCTGTAGGGATTTTGCTGTTCTTTCTGTTCTGTGTTGGAAGAGATCAGGGAGGGGAGGGCTGAGGACAGGAGTGTCGGGAGCTTCCTTGCTCTGACTTACGCTGGGAACACCCTGATCCCAAGCATTCCATGCTGTGGAGCAGTCCGAACCGTCCTTGCATTCCCATGTGCAGGTAGTGTCTGGAGACCCCGCTTCAGCTGACCCAGTGAAAATGGTTTTGCCAAACCTCTGTGGGAAGCTACCTTACCTTTGTGGGTTTAGTTGAAATCTACCCCCACAGAGTTCTAAGTCGTTCCAGGCAGGCTTCGCGGGTTGAGATGGTGTAACTGAGGGATTCCGCTTCCTGGAGGAGGAGGAGGTGATGAAGGAAGTGTGTGCCAGCTCTCTGATTGTCCTGGCCTGGGTGAAAATCAGCTTCTGTGTTCAAGTCTGTCCCTTCAGAGCTTCTGCATCCCCAGGTTCTGAGGCTGTCCTGGGTCATAGGGCAAGAGCACACACTTCAGTAGTTTTCTAGGTATTTATGCTCCAGGATGGTGTCTGTGCAGATGGAAGTTAATCTCTAACTCCCTGGCTGGATAAGTGCCATGGCGCAGTCTGAGGGTCTCAGCTGAACTCCTCTCTCACCTCCACGCTGTGTCCCCCACCAAAGAAAAACACCCCTCAGCCATTTTCTTAGCTCACTTGATTGAGTGATTACAAACTGTCATCGTTTGCCTTGGGTTTCACAGACACAGTATCAGACATTCCTTTTTCCCAGAGGTCTTTCTCTTTTGCTGATTTCAAATTTAATGCTGGTTAACAGGTCTGGCTGGATGGTTGCCCTAGCCCCACAGTGGCTGAGCAGGAACTGTAGGGGAAAAAAAGTCTTGATCTTTCTCTCCTTTTACATTCCCAGACATCCAGCTCCTTCTCTAGTGCCTGTTCCTGCAGGGCGGGGGCTCCTGTGAAAGTGAGGAGGGGGGTCTCTGGGCTGTGTCCCCGGGTTTTACAGGGCTCAGGCTTGCGTTCCCAACTTGAATCTGGATGTAAATCTGGCGAGAATGACAAGTACCTGTGGACCTTCCCGATTCATTACCCCCTTCCCTCTTTCTGAGAGGCAGAGAAATAATATTTTGAAAGGTATTTTTAGTTTTAAATAGCAAAACACAAGCTGTATTTCTTATTTATTATGCCCAAGAAAGGTAAATCTGTTTTTACAAAAGGAAAAAAATCTAGAGTTGGAAACTCTGGGAAAACCTATTGAAATACACAAATGCTTCTGTCTGTAATGTGCAATATGCTTTGCAACTATAGATGATATTTTATGTGTAACCTGTAAATAAGAAATGTATTTAAATTAAAAGGGAGCTTTTTGTAAAAGGACCAAATGTTCTTTTATAAATGTACTAAGAAATATCTTGCTCTTGGAAATTTATTAGGATTTTTATGAGTAATTTTTATTAAAAGAATTCTTTTTTTTTTTTTTGAGTTGTCATTTTGTTTCTGTTTTATGTACTCACATATGCACATTATATAGAGCACAGTCTTTAAGGGAAACATAAAACTGGATGAATAAAAACTTTATGTTGTTTTTTTACAGCTCAGCCCTGAGTAATACCACTGCAGTTTGTCTGCCACGCAGTGATTTAACCGTCCTTCACATGTGGGTCAGAGCCACTTTTGATGACCTTTGTCCTGTCCCTGCCCTCTTCACCTTGGCCTCTTTCTCCCAGGCACTGATTCACTCGCAATTCTTGGTGCCATTTATCCAAGTCTCTCTAGGGCCTGGAAGCAGTTCTCTCTGTTATCTTAAGCAGAGCAGTTTCTTTCTCCCAGCTTCTTACAGGCTGAGATGGGATTCACGGTCCAGAGGCAGTGCGAGCCAGGAAGCTTTCGGAGGGGTGGCCACCGTGCCCACTGCTGCCCGAGTCATGACCGTGTCTAGAAGGCGGCTGCTGATTTGGCCCCTGTGAGGTCCTGCCGTGCCAGTTCTGTGTCCTGGCGATATTGATGGGCCTTTATAAAAATCATGAATTGCTACAGGGTGAGGGGTAGTCTTGAGGTGGGAAGTGCCTGCTGGTACCAGAACGCATGCCCCTGTAAGGCAGGGTGGGTGTCTGTGAAGTCCCACGGGCTAGTCTTCCTGACAAGCCGAGGCTGGCCTAGTACACCCGCGGACAGCCGAAGAGCTGTGGATCCCGCCTCGGCCCCGCCTTCGCTCTCCAGGAGGCTGAGCCCCGGGAGCCCGAGTCCTCGGCCTGCCGCGGGGCGAGTGGACTAGAGCATCCTGTGTGGATGCCCCTGCAGAGCATCAGTGTGAGGTTTGGACCTCACATCCACACCATTTGAGGTAAGTCCTAGCTCTACCACTGATGAGGTTTGTGCCAAGTTACACAAGTTATACAGTCTTGTTTCAGTTTTCCCATCTGTGACACGGGATGAGAAGAAGAATCCATGTGCATAGGGTGGACTCAGTGGGTTATTACGTGCAAGGTGAGCCAGCTGGCGCGGCAGCCTCTGTGTGCATGTTCATTATAATCGTGACCAAATCAGGCTTGGTACCAAGGATCTGTCCTCCAGCCTTTAAACAGGGATCCCAGGGAGGAGTATGTTTTCCTCATTTTCCTCTGGAGAGTCTTTCCCCACAGCTCAGAATAACCTCTGTGCCTGAGCAGAGGATGTGTGAGGAGGCGGTGTGGCCACTTCGGGGTCTGTACTGCCTCCACATGACAGAAATGCCCTCCTGGAAGAGCTTGGTCTTCCTCAAGTACCCACCTTTCCAAGGCTCGGGTTTCTTGCGTCTCGGGAAACACTGAGGAAACCCAGCTGTGAGTGGAGCAGGGCTAAGGGCAGCTTCCATGGCAGGCTGGTCAAATTCTTGAAGGAAACTTCCCGCTTGTTTGCAAAGCTTGACACCTGCTTAGCGAAAAGACCAGATGGAAGCCCAGCTCTGGCTTCTGTCCTTGGAAAGCCTATCTGAGCCACCGTAAACTGATTTTTTAGGGATGTTTTAAAACAACACTGAAAGTTATTCTTTTAGATATATTTATTTAAATCTAAAAACCATTGAAGTTTGTTACCTACCATTCTACTGCAGGGGATGCATGTTCAATCCCTGGTCAGGGAACTAAGATCCCACATGCTGTGCTGTGTGGCCAAAATATTTGAAAATAAATAAAAGTACATTCAAACATGTTCTTCTTTATTCCTTTTCCACCACAAAATTTTATACTGATTGAACATATTTCAATCCTTTATAAGTTTTGCTGTGCACACAAGGTGAGCCACAAAATATATTATAGTTTGCTAAATAGAAGGTTCAGCACATATTCTGTGATCATAAAGCTCTTAAGTATTAAAAAAAATTTTTTTCAGGATTGAGCTAACATTACAATTACTATATGAATGGCATAAATATGTATTTTGATAATTATTGAAAAGGTAGTATTTTGTGGAAAAAATTTCTTTTGATTACATAACAATTTTTTTTTTTTTCCTTCTCTAGTTGAATTGCATGTATCTGGATGAACACCACTGGAACATCACCACAGAATGAGATGAATTTCAGTATCAATTATCATCGTTTTCCTTATTTTCATAGATGTAACCTCCTTCACAGAAATAAGTGGATAGGAATACAAAGAATTTTTATAGCTATTACATATAAATATCTGTGGATATAGATATATTAATTATTTGAACTTAGCAATATTGCCAAAAAATTACCCAATACTTTATGATGAGGGCTTATCTTTAAGAATCCATTTGTGGACAAATTAATTGGGGTCTCTTTCAGTTTTGTTGTAAGCAGAGAATTGGAAACCACTGTCTTGCAAAAAGCTTTGTTCAGTTATTAAGAGTCACTTACTTTTGCACTTTGTGGTATGTATTTCAGAAAGGTCTTCCAAGATTTATCAAATGATTATTCTTTGTATCTGTTATTTTTCAATTTAGAGGCACTTAGTATAACCTGAAATAACTCAGGAGTGCTGGGAAATTTAGAAATAATATTCAATGCAACATACCTCTGATAATACATTTTTAAGAATAAGTGCCTTTATCTTATGACCTCCCTTAAATATGTTTGCATCAGAACCTTGAAGCTGCAGGCTTAACACATCCAATTTAGAAAAATATATGCATCATTTAATCTAATTGGCTAAGTCAATCCTTGTTTTCAAGCTAATTGGCACTGTGGCTTATTTGCTCACTGGAAAAGTCTGACTTCATTTTTCAGTCCTAATAGATGTGGTAATGCATGTCCAGTAATAGTCATCTCCCCTCTGGGTTCTCAGGTGGAGAAATGCTGGCAGGAGATTGTGCTCTAGTTTGCTGCAGGAATGAAATGCATGGAGACAATCACTGGAGCAAGGCATTGTTTGCCAGCAAGGAGGAGGGGAAAAGGCAGGTTGCTACATGAAAAATATTTCACCTGGACCCTTTGAAGTGAAAATCACTCAGTCATGTCCGACTCTTTGTGACCCCCACGGACTATACAGTTTATGGAATTCTCTAGGCCAGAATACTGGAGTGGGTTGGGTAGCCTTTCCCTTCTCCAGGGCATCTTCCCAACCCAGGGATCAAACCCAGGTCTCCTGCATGGCAGGGAGATTCTTTACAAGCTGAGCCACCAGGAATGCCCAAGAATACTGGAGTGGGTAGCCTATCCCTTCACCAGCAGATCTTCCTGACCTAGGAATCGAACCGGGGTCTCCTGCATTGCAGGCAGATTCTTTACCAACTGAGCTATCAGGGAAGCCCAAGAAAGGGACCCTTTGGTGCCTCAGAATAAAAACACACCATGGCTGTGCATCCAGAGAAGTGGATTCTGGGTTTGTGAGAGGCCTGCCCTCTGATAAGGTAGAAGACGGAACTGTGGGTGTTGAGAGATGGTAGATAGGTCAGGTCTCAAGCTGATCCATTTTAGGTAAAAGTACAAGTGTGTTTTTTTACCTTGAGGATCTGGAAATTGATTCCCTTGGAATGAATGG